GATGTGCTGAGTAATCTGAGATGGACTACAGGTTATAGATTGACCATGAGTTTTGGTAATTGTTGAAGATAAGTGATTGTATATGGGGGTTCACTATACCATTCTTTCTACTTTTGTATATGTGACATCTGCCATAATAATAAGACTTTTTTATAATGCATCATTCAAGTGATCATTTCCCTTTCAATTTGTCACATGGTAGGGGGCTCCATTTCAATTAACTTTGTTTCCCTCAGTACAGAAAGCTCCCCAGTGGCCTGCTGTCACCGTAAGAGAAGACATTAGGACCAAAAGTTTACTGCAGTTTGTGAAAATCCCAATTATAACAACAATAGCAATAATACTTCCTGTATACCTGGCATGGTACTGGTACCTCTGATTTCACTTAATCCTTACAATTATCCAGTGAAGTAAGGGCTGTTATGCCCATTTTACAGAGAAAGAAATTAAAGCTCAGTGAGGGTAAGTAACTGGTCCAAGTCTACACCAGTGATAAATGGTTAGAAAGAATTCTAATCCTCCACCACAAGAACAAAAAATTATGTAACTATGTATGGCAACTGATACTAACTAGACTTAGCGTGGTGATCATCTCACAATACATACAAATATTGAATCATTATGTTGTACACCTAAAACTAATGTTGTAAGTCAACTATAATTCAATTTAAAAAAATCAAATCCTGAATTACTTGTGCTCTTAATTTCTACTGTTTCCACAATACATAATACTTAGGTACTCTAAGCTTTATATGTAATTGGGGCTAAATCTACAAAGTTTTTTAAATGATCATACCCATTAGAGTGTGAGTCAGTATTTAGGATTCTGTCCTATGGAAATTATCTGTAATATAGACAGAGATTCATTCACAAATATGTTTATCACAGCATCACTTACAATAGAAAGAAGTGGTTTGACTCTCCCACAGTGGCTGTCATCCAGGACTCCTTCCCCACTGCTCCAGGTTTGGGTGGCTGCCCCTCCTCTGTGGACCCACAGCATCCTCACTAGTCTCATTACCCCTGCCTCCTCCCCACTGGACTGTGAGTATTTTAAAAGCTGAGCTCTTCTTATGCGTCATTGGTTTAGAGGAAGCACTTGAATATGTGAGGACTGAATTAATAAATGCCGGTGGAGTTGCTTATATATGGAATCTGTTACAATTGTTGGAGATCACAGGGGCAGGACTAGAACCCAAGGCCACATGCAAGACCATACCCTTCCACCTTAAACTGTAGACTTCTTCTAAATTAAAAAACAACATAAACCAAAATGGCTGGTGTTTGAATGCTTGAGGCAGGGTGGGGACAGGGGAAGACGCTGAAGGCTCCTTCTTCTACAGGCCCTCGCTGAAACGACCACTGCAGTGATCAGATCTCATGGAACCTGGTGACCTTGGAGATGCTGAGCAGCTGATATGGGTGATGAGTGAAAAGAGACACAGCTTTAAGGCAGACGTAAACTATGACATGTATATATGAGAACATTACACAAGAAAGGCAAGAGATAACTGCACATACTGTATGTTCTCAACCACTTAGAGAAAACAAATCTATTAAAAAAAAAAAAAGACCAGAGGGAAAATTGCCAAATGCTAATAGTGGTTGCCTTTGAATAATGGAATTTTGTTCTATTTTTGTGTACATTTTCTGTACTTTGAAAACTGTCCTCAATAGGCATGCTTTATTTTTGTAGTCAGAATGATAAAACAAAATTTAAATAATCAAATTGATTCTGAAGGCTAACCTGACTCTTCTAGTAATGACTTAGAAAAATCACCCCAGTATTTTAATGGGGTGAAACTGCATTGCTCCCTATGTTACAGTTACAGATAAGCCTATAAAAGGTACATCTATCTGGAGTCAGAAGGCCATCATGTAGTTTCAGTATATATGCAGATTAGTAAGAAAAATGTATTTTTCCCCAACTGAGTTTTTATTGAACAAATCACCGGTACCAGGTCTGAGCAAATGCTCAGTCCTCTAATGTTCCAGAACATTACTGTGAACTTTCCTAATGAATTATTCCTGTCATTTTTTAATGCAACCACATCCTCACATTTGTAGAGAGCCACATTCTTTTTGAAGTCTTTCTTCTTCAAATCTCTCATTTACCATCTTGGTCTGACTCATGAAAAAAAGAGAACCTCCCCAAGGAGGTCAGTGTTAAGATAAAGTAGATTTGCTTTCTGTGGGCTTCTGAAGGCATTTTCTAAGGGAGATCCAAATGTGTTCTGAGCAAGGGTGGTGGGGCAAAGAATAGGTCTGGTTCTTTGTAACTCCAGACCAGTGAGCACAGGACCTCCAGCCACCTGCTTGTCAGTAAACATGGAATGAATGAATGGAATGACTTGAGATTGCACTTGGGCATGAAAGTTCTGGTTTTGTTTTTTATTTGTTTTTTACTAGGTTTATTTACCTTAGAGTCACACATACTTCACAACTATGCAAAGGCCCCTTTTACAATTTGGCAGACATTCACACCTCTTTGTGACTAGGTAGGGTCTGCCAGTCAGAGCACAGGGCTTAGCCTGTGGGGTTACTCTCCCACCTATTTTCTCTACCACTTAAAAAGCTGGGAAACACCCAAGCCTCCCAAAAGGTCTGAAGAGTCCTAAGCATTGTGTGTCATGTGACTTAATGCCCACAACTCCAGATATGTACAATTTCTTCTCCCCACTTTGCACAATGTGGACACAGCCAGCTGGTTTTCACGGAACACAAGAGAGAAGGTGGATGACCCAAAACTGCTCCTCTAGCTCTAAGGCCTGAGCATCTTCTGCTCCACTAGAACAGCCTGTGCATATACTGGAAGGGAGGGATTGTCACTGGAGCCCAAGAAGTTATGTAGCACAAAGAGCTAAATGGGGTCTCTCCCTTCTAACTTCTTGCTGTCTTTTGCTTTATGATTATACTCAAAGCAGCTCCCTACCGGAGAAGCAAGCAAAAGACAGAGGAATATGTGGGGAGGCTAGGGCTACAGTCAAGTAAACCATTAGTAAACACTAAAGAAAATTGATGCCCAATGATAACTCTAATATACCTCTTCGTGACTAGGTAGGGTCTTCCAGCCAGAACACAAGGCTTATCTATCACTGGGATCCATGGCTTTGCTTAATAACCAACACTTACATAAATCCATAAGGAATTCATTCTCTGCCTTAAAGGGTGTTGTTATAACAACCATCATAACTGACTTTACCCTGGAGTACAAACAACAACTCATTTGATGGAACAGTTTCCTTTTCATGCAGAAAGAGGCAATAAAAGCTGACACCTTACTATGTGTCCTTTGGCAAGTAATTTCTCCTCTCTGGGCCTTAGTTTTTCCTTCTGGAAAATAAAAGGGCATGACCAGATGATTTCTTAAATTCCTTACCGTGCGGAGCAACCTGATGAGAAAACTACTCAAGTGCCAAGTGGAATTACCACGATAAAGAGACACCCTAGGATCCCTAAGAAAAGAAACAAGTGTAGCTAGGAGATAACAGGGACAGGACAAAACAGCACGTTAGCTTTGGGGAAACCCGGACTTGAAGCTTTTTTCTGGTTTCCCAACTTTGCCTCCGCCAAATACAAAATAGGCACTTCCATGGAACTCTTGATAAAAAAAAATTTAATTAAATAAAATCAATGAAAACAATGCTTTGTTTTCCTACAAGTGGCTTAAGAGCAGCCCGTTAAGAGATACTTTCTTCCCAGGAGAACATGTCAACAGCCTATGCTTATGCCCAAACAAAGTCCTTCTGGCACGGAAATAAGAGGCAAAACACCTAAGTCCCCACAGCTGGCCCTATTCCTTCTGACGGGAAGGGGTAGCCAGTAGGGAAAAATAAGCTTCTGAAAGGCTAGAAGAAGAGTAAAGAATTACTAAATCTGTCTCTTCTCAAATGAATAAAGAACTCTTCAAAAGGACAATGAAAGGGGGCAGCTTTCAACATGAATTACTTTCTCTGTTTAACTCTATTCTGCCTAAGGCCACTGCCTTTTAAACCAACCACGGAATGCTGGTTTTGCCCTTAGTTGTAGGCACGGTCGTGTGCAGTGTGGGAGTTTGGAGACACACACTCAGATCCCCTCTATCGCCGATTTCATTCGGATTAAACTTGGACAAGTGGTTGAACTCTCCAGGCTTCTGTTTCCTGCCTTTAAAATAAGAGGATTCACTAGATGCTGTCTAAACTCTCAATAACACTGGTGTAGGGCTGGAGGCGCTCCAGTTCTCCCCAGGGACACATTAATCTCCAGCGATAATAGCCAAGGTGAAGCCGCAGCGGGATTGCCCAGCACACTCAGGCAGCGGTGCCTCCATTCCTGCGCACAGCACCCAGTCCCACAACCTCAGGGGCACTCCTGTACCAACGCCACCACCTAAAGGCCAGTTCATTCTCCCAACCATCTCCCTGCTGCCTGACCAGGTCTGCTTAACTATAATCTGCAGAGCTGAGCTGAGCACACATAAGTAAAGAAAAAAACAAAACAAACAAGAGGCGTCTCATTTCGGACTTCGAATTTCTCTCAAATAAACTCTGATACAACTGAAAATAATAGCGTCCTCACCTAGAACAAGAAGCCTCATCTGGCCTTGCTTATAAAACTCCGTAACGAGCTAACAGGGGCCAACTACACCGGGACTGGTAAAATGCATGAACCCACAAGGCAAAGCACAAGCAAAACCAGAACGCGCTGGGCGCTGTTTCAATCGGACTATTCTTTCTGCAGGCTGCGGAGGCGCTCGCGATCTCCCAACAGAGGCAGTCACCAGAGTGCAGGGACAATGGTGCGCTAGGCACGATCTTTTTTTTGATGGGGAGCCACACCCCTTTAAATCAACCCGGCATCTAAGAAACCTCTTCCTTAAGGGTAGTCCTGGTCATATCAAGTAATGCACCGTGGCCGAGGACAGACTTTCGGCCAGGGGTAATCGTTTTGAAGCTGCTTTCCTGTTAGGTGTTTCCCTTTTTTAAGTCTAGCAATTTGGTCTGATGCCCAAGGGGTACCTTTTAAACGTCTCTGTCGTCCTTCTTCTGCTAGTGACGCCCCCAAGCCGCTCCCTGCCCGCGGCTTAGGACAAAGGATGGATTCCGCAGGGCGGCTCCTCCTGCCCGCCGAGCGCGGGCTTCCCAGGGCAGGGCGCACGTGCGTTTGTTATGATGCCTGTGTCCCGACCCCCGCCGCGGGGCTGTTTCCCTGCCTGCTAATCCAGCAGGCAGAATCTAAAGGAAGCCGGAGCAGGCAAAACGCCCACCTTCACTGACTGTGCAGTGGGGAAAGCGGGATTCCCGGACGAGCGCACGTGGGTTTGTTGTGGATCCCTAGGCTCGCAGAGCCAGCGAAAAGCCAGGGCGGCCGCTCGGCTGGACAAATACACAGACACCGGCAGCCAAAAGGGGGCCAGCCGGCGCGGCGAAGGCGACTGAGGTGGCGCTGGATTCCGGGTCGCTGAGCTCCAGGCGCGCGGAAGGCCCTGCAGCTCGGCTGCGCCCCCCTCCAGCGCCCCCTCGCATCCCTCTCCCCGGGGCCCGGCCGGCCACCGCCCTCCGCCGCGACCGACTTACGCGCTGCGCTCTCCGCCGCCCAGGCTGCGCCTGCAGCGCCAGCTTCACGCCCCTGCAGACCGGCAACCGCTCCCTTTGTTAGCGCCGGGCAGTGCCCCAGGCGTCTTCCCGGCCCGGCCCGGCCCTGCCCTGGACTCCCCTCCCCTAGGTGTCTCCCGACTCCGCGCTCGCCAAGGGCAGGAGAGCCCGAGAGCTGGGAGGCCAGCGCGGGAGTCCCGGAAGAAGTGTCTGCTGGGAGCAGCGGGGTACAGGGGATGAGGGGTGGGGGGAACCGGGGGAAGAGGAGCGCGGGGAGGGGCGGGGGAAACGAAATGTCTCCGTTATGCAAATAGTAGGAAACCGCGGAGGGCCCCAGACCACACTGCGCCCCAAACCCGCCTGATCCTCCGGAGGTCGCTAGTGAGCGGACCTCAGGATTAAAGATGCCTGGTTAGGCAACTGCATGATGTTGGGACCCTGCCTCCCCCAGAGAGGCGGGGACTGAGGATCAAGGGAGAAAGGCAACGCGATGGGGCAAGGGTTCCCAAATGCGGGCTCTATTACCCACCCCACTGATCCCAGGGTTTGACTCCAGCATTCTCAGGCTTTTCCCCCTAAGGAGAGGTAACTGTTAAGTCCTAGCTCTGCTACTGACTGGCTGTGTGACCCTGACCAAGTCACTTAGGGTTTCTGACGCTTCAAATTCTTCTTATGTTGAATATGAAATAACAAAATCTATTTCCTGGGGTTTGGCAAGAGCCTCTGAACTTCCGGCATGGCACTTACTGCGCACTCAACAAACTCCGCAGATACAGAAAAGGTGTGTCAGCAAATCTCTGCACAGGAGATTCCAGCTCAGGCTGTCTGCAGGCTTGCAGGCAGGGAGGCCCCAGGTAGCCTGGTGAAGGGAGTGAGGTTCCTTCCTTTCACAGGGGCTGACTAGGCAAGGTGAAAGGAAACTGCTTCTACAGCAAGTCACAGCCGCACTTAACCCATGCCTGGCCCCTTACCCCCAGCCACTTCCCTAAGACAGAAAACCGCCCTACAGGAAGTGGCCTTAGACCACCACTCCAGTCCCCCACTTAGAGAGAGGCTGTGACTACCAGAGGCAATAATCGCCTCTCAAATGTCTTTTAGCATCCACTTGGCACTAGGCTCTGTGCTTGGAGGGAAGTGGGTCTGGTGGGGTAGGAAGGAAAGGGAGAGTGAAAGGGTCCCCTGGGAGCACAAGGTCTCATACACATTGTGAGTACTTGAACTCCATACCCAGAACTCTCTTTCCAAATCCAGGTGGCCACTCCATGCCACCAGCCTGGGAAACAGGAGCTCCCAAACTCTTCTCACCCCAGCAACCTTTTTCCAAACACTAATCCCTCCCTCAGGTCCTGGAGCCATTGGGCTGTCACTCCTGGCCCTTCCCAGCTGCTATAGAAGCATTATTGCTTAGGACAAAGAGCTGCAGTTGGAGAAGAGTTGAGGCTAAGGGAATTCAGATCTCTATGACCAACTAGCTGTGTTTCAGTGTGAGTTCCTCAGCCTCTCTAAGCCTCCCCTTCATCTCCTGTAAATCAGAGATATTAATGAAAAATTAATCCTGTTTTTTTCAGGATTATGTGACAGGATCTCTGTGAAGCACTGAGCTTAGAATGTGGCAAATAGAAGGTGCTCATAACGGTAAAATGTGTGAGTGGATGAGTTGATGCAGACAAACTCATAAGACTATTTTTAGAAGGATGCTACACTGAAGTTTTAGACTTTATTCTGAGAATTGGAAGCTATTTTGTGCAGGTGCCTGACATGCATCTTTATGTTTTATACTGATTTATCCTGCAGCTTACTGGAAAATGGATGGCAGGAGCAGAGACTGTAAAGAGCACACAGCAGAGAACCAGTCTGGAAGCTGCAATCAGTGGAGATATAATAGGAGCTGTGGCAAAGACAGAATGAAAAAAGGACATCAGACAATAGTTACCATTTGGAGAGCAAAAGCACTTTGCTTATTATGTTGTCTCTCATCACAAGATAGATGATAGCCTTAGTTCCATTGTATAGAAAAGCTAAAATTCGAACCATCTTCCACATTCATTGAAAACCTTCATCATTTCCTTCCTCAGCATCACTTTTGTGTCAACACCACTAGGAAGCAAGAACAAAAAACACCAGACAGCCTTCTTTAGAAGGTTGCCTACTTCCCACTCCATAGTTTTCTTTACCAGAAGAACTCCAGCCAAATTATGGAAAAAACAAGGGAAAAGGGCTCACTCAGCATTCAGGGCTTACAGGACTAAGATGACCTCAGACGACATGATAATTCCAAGAAGTCCCAGGGCTCTGAGATAGATGAGTGGGCAAGTAGGGGTGCCCTTGAAGATGTCCAGGGTGGGAGCAGCCACGGAGTTATTCCCTTGGGGGTGCTGCCCCTCAGGGTTGCTGTCTCACCAGCTGGGGCCTTCTGACCTATAGTGAGAGGCCAGAAGCTGGACCAATATATGGAGGACAGTCCTGTCCTCCCAGCCTACTTATGAGGCTCCTCTCACCCATGGCCTCTGCTGCTCCTGCCTTGACAAGTTGTTTTCTGTAGAAGTACAGATACAACTTTGCCTCTGGGTATTTTTTCAAGCACCCCCGCAACCTCATGACTTTGAGCATGAATAATATTTTAGGTAATGCCTCATTCTTGGTCACCATTTTAAGTAGTTTATTTAATACAAATAATGCTCTACTTTATAATGTTCATTTACAATCCACAAACAATATTTTCATAGCACTCTTGAATTGGAGGTGGTGTTATTACAGAGTGTTACAGGGAATTAATGTGATGGAGGGCAGTTGACAATGTCCTCCCAAGCCCTTCTTCTTCACCCCACTATGGATGCTCACCAAGATCCTGAGATAGCCCTCACAGATCTCCTTCTCTCACACCTTCAGCACCTATTGTCTGGTATAGGGGCAGCCTTGGAGCCAAAGGAGCAGCGGTGTGGTGTGTCTGAGCCCCCTACCTTACACCTCAAGGCTGTCAGCTTCAAAGGTAGAGGTACCTGTACGTGTAGGTCTATAAAACCCAGGTCAGAAAATAGAACTAGAGGAATAGTGTCTCTAATTGAAGCACCTAGAGACTGCTCCTGCTGTCCCTGCACAGGTGGGCCAGTGGAATACAGAGTGGGGGCAGCAGAGAAAACCACTAGAGGGTGGAGGTGTACACTGGAGAAAGGCCTCCTGGGAGGGACACAGCCATAAGGCAGGGGAAATGGCTCCACCCCAGTACAGCAAGCAGTGGCCTTGTGGCTCCACCTTCACAGGGTATGGGCATGGTGTGACCAGGTAGGTCCGAGAATGGATATGTGGGCACACGTGACTGGACTGCACTTCAGCCAGTCCACATCAGTGTCTGGGCCTGTCCTGAGAGATACAAGAAGAAACCAAGTCTCTATTCTCAAATTACTTATGTTGGAGCAAAATATCTTTTGGTTCAAAATAATAATTGTCATACACTGAACATACTGTGTATGCAGGCAGTCTATGTACACGTTCTTATTTAATCCTCACTTCTGGGAGGAGATATCACCCTTAGGAACCTAGTGCCCCCAAGGCACCTTGAGCTACTCTTTCGGTTCTTGCCTTGGGCCAGTCTTAGCATGACATTGATACTGGGGTTCAAAGTGATGACTACAAATCCAAGACTCCAAGAACATTAGAAAGTAAGAGCAGGCTTTACTGAAGGTTTCTTAAAGAGACAAAATGGTATTAACAAGCATCAAGTGGCAAAACTTCTTAGATACGTGCTTACAACATACCTTTCTCTGAGGTTCTGCTGCTGACAGTCACTCTCTCACCTTTCTACACCTCCTTCCTCAATGTGCCTCACCCTCCTGCAGTTCTCTCCAGCTCCCTCCCCACTCCCAAGTCCTTCCCTCTAGATTTCTCCCTTAATTTTAATGTTAATTAACTTTAATTACTTTTAATTAGCCACTCTCAGAGACTCCAAAAGGTATAAGCTAGAAAACAGGAACTATAAAAGATAAGATAAAATCATAAAGATAACTCACAAGAATATACATCTTTACATTTATAAATGGCTTGGATTTCCATTATTCTACTTGTACCCTCTTGTGAAGTAGGGTTGACTCTTTATCAACCTACAGGAGAAAACTGAGGTTCAGAGGTAAAGTGAGTTGCTGAAGCCCAGTGGTGAGTGCTGAGCTGTGCCTTGAAATCAAGGCCTCTCTCCTCTTTCCCAGGACTGTCAAAGGCTGCACAAGCCATCAAACTGTCAGTGACACTTGGGAGGCTGCTGTGCTACTGCTGCTGCCTGGGGGCAGGATTCTCAAGTGCTCTATCCTGGAGACCAGCTTCACCAGCAAGGGCAGGAAACACAGGGCCAAGGGACTCCGAGGAATCAAATATGCTTATAATAAATTCCCTTAAAAAGATCCAGGAAATTGGCTTCTCTCCGGGACTTCTTTCAGAACCAAAGTGGAAGCTGCCTCCTGTGTATTTATGACCTGAGGATAACCATCAGCATTACCTGCCCTAATGGTCAGGCTTTGTGCAAAACAGTCTGTGGGTGAATGAAACATCTTTGAAACTGAGAATATTCTGGGGGAAAAAAATCATTATTTGATGCCTACTGGTGATTTTTCCCAGACCTGTCCCATACAGTCTCATATTTTTAAACATCTATTGGAAATGGTTTTTTTCCTGATTTTATAAAGTTTGT